TCATTGCGGCTGATCCTTTTGAATATATCGAGTGTGATCACATTACATTTAGCGCCAGTGTCAATTTTAATTTCAACTGGTTGGCCGTTGATTTCCATTGTGCAGTAGATTTCACTTTTCTTTCCTGGCTTGGACGTAATCGCATCGATAACAAATAAATTCTCATCTTGTTCGATAGGACACTGTGGATTGACTGTTTGGACAGAACGCCTGGGACGCCGTGAACGATCTCAAGTGCTTGAACGCCCGCCATCACGTTTACAACGGCAAACTTTTTCGAAATGATTGGGCTTTCCGCAATGAAGACATTTCTCGTCAAACGCTGGACATGATTTCTGCTTGGCTGAATGGCTACCACCACAATTCCTACAATTTTCGAGACCTGGTTTGGAATCTTTCTTCGATAAACCTCCTTTGTCGAGACCATGGACCTCTTCCTTTGGATCGCTGACTTGGTTCGACGAGAGCTCGGTGTTGTCTCTCGCTGATAATTCGTTGGCAATGCCAGTATCAATAGCGCGATCGAGTGTGAGATCCCGGTCTTTTAAGAGTTGCTTTCGCACGTGCCGAGAGCTGAAACCACATACAATTTTATCCCGAATAAGCTCATCTTTCAAAACGCCGTACTCACATGTACTTGCTAGGATTCTGAGATCAGCTACAAATGACTGAAACGATTCACCTTCTTTTTGGACTCGGGTGTTTAATTTGTGCCTTTCCATAATGACATTTCCACGAGGGTCGCAGAGTTCAGCAAATTTTCTTTTCAGCACTTCGATACTCTAGCGAGATTCTGCTTCGACCCGAACGGTTCCATCTTCGTTCAGTACAGTGGGAGCGTAGACAAAAGATTTCTCCTTTTCAATCGCTTCTCTTCCTGCGAGATTCGAGGAAATGTACGCTTTGGTTCTGTCGTCCTTTTCTCCGTGAGTAGCGGCGATGAATATTTCCACCTCTTGGGCAAAATGTTTCCAGTTTAGCGCGACATTACCCTCGAAGCTCAATGGTTCGGACTTTTGGAGACCATCTGCCATAATTGACTTTTAGATTGTCAGAGAGACCAGGCGATGCGGATTTTCTTTACCCCTGATACCATGTAGTTTTCAAGCGACGACCTTCACTCGAGAAGTCTATTTATTCAACGAACCGACCAAATGTTACACACCCAAATTATGAAACTGATTAGCATTTTTACACATACATTCACACGCTCGTTCCACACACACACATTCACACGCTCGTTCCACAGGCCGTTTGTTTTCCCATTGCAGACCACATGATGACACTCTTGAAAAATCTTGCTTCCAAATGTTTAAATAGTCGCATGTATATGAATGAATAATTTTAAGATGGATAAAAGAAAAATTCTCAAGAGAATATCACGTGGTCTACAATGGGAAAACAAACCACCCGAGCTGAAGAGGTCTAGCTAACAATTAGACCCGTAGTCCGCAAGGACAAGCAACTGAATTTTTAATATTTCTGTAAGGGCTACGGGTCAATAGCCCATGAGGCGAATAGTCCTCTAGTAGCGTAGCCAATCAAAATGCAGGATTTGCATTAGTCCACTACTTGGGTGATACTAATTAAGACTATCTATTTTTTCTGGATTTCGAGACGTACGCACGTGCGTTCTTGTAGATATGGTCACCACGCATCTTATTTTGGCGGCCTTGTTTGTTTTTTGTTTTTTTTTTTCATTTGTGGAAACAGTTTTGGCAATTCCAAACGGCTGTGAGAGTTTCTGGTACGTGCTACGGGGCAAGGATTGCAAGGAAACAGTGTCGGGCATGGTGTGTACGGCTTAAAGATAATATCAGAATAATAGCTTTTCCTTTCTGTTTACCTTTATTTTAACATCCATCTCTTTACATGCCGCCCGATTTGCAAGTGTTTCAAAATAGATCAATAAATAAACGAACAAAAGAATGAATGGTAAATACCACTTTAATCGATCAGTGAAATATTGAAATTCAGTTGCTTTTTCGGCGACATGCCAGTTAATTTATAATCCAGTTGTCCCATTACTCTTGCACAATACTTTTCAACAATCTGCACAGAAGCAGGGCTCATTTTTCTCCTCCAATTAGAAACAACTTGCTGTGAGTTACGACTGGTGCTGTAGGCATTTCCGTGACTAATTCGTGTCGTCTCGTGCAGCCATTTCTTGATGATATCTAACATTTCGATTCCTGTAAATTTGTAAAGTTCATTCACTACCCGCAGTGGATTGCGAGCGAGGTCTTCAAACCGGATTAACTTGTACCCATCAGGTGAAAATGCCTTCATCAACTTCCCGATCTTGACATCAAACTCCATTTGATGGCAAACTTTTTCTACATACCATGATAATTCGCGTCTTGGGTCTTGTGATTTCCTAAAAAACGCCAGAGACTTCAAAGAATCAACAACAGCTCTTGGATCTCTGACCAAATGAATTATTTTACATTCACTCGCGCCGTTGGAAGAACAACTTTCGAAAAGGTTCTTGTTCCATTCTCCACGAGAATTTAGTATTCTGGGTGTAAGTATTTTCGCAGCAAACATGATGTAATTATTTTTACAGACGTCCTCAAATTGTCGTGTTTTTAGTTTCTGGCAGACTGTAGACGTGCCGTTTCTGAAGCAAAATCTAGAGTTTAGTGCCAGGCTGTGGCGTAGATTTTGCCGGTTGAGGTAACGAGTAAACAAGTCACTAGCAAACTTGCAGTTGTTAATATCCTCAAAAACTTTGAACACTATATTTTGATAAGATGGAGAGGAGAAATCAAACTCGAATAAGGAATGTCCAGAGAACATTTTTTGCACAGGATGTAATGGCTCAAAAAGGTAGAACACACCAGGGTGGTGATTGAAAATTTCGCCCAGAAATGAAGATCCCGATCTTGGACAAGACATTAACATGACATTCACCCTCTTGGGATGTTGCGTTAATGGTGCACTCCGTAGTGGGTTTGTGAATGTGTACATGAAAGTGAGAGAGAAGAAAATTAAACCCATTGAACAGGATATAATGAAAAATTTCTTGGAATCGAAGCGGTTGCACCATGTTTCTCTCCTTATTTCGAGAGCCTGTTGATTCATCGTCTGGAGTGCGGATAGCAGCCTGTAGAATAAACAAAACAGACTATTTGATCAACCCAGAAACTTTTCTAAATAAAGACTCTCTAAATAAATGCCGTTCGTCGCCGTCGTAAGGCGCGCGCGCCCGCGATCCATGCCACTAGCCATGTTGACCATGGAAAAAGACTTGCATGGTTTTTTATTTCTACGCATGCATGTGATTCTGTTCTTATAGTTACGGTGCTCTGCTTTTGGTTCTCTGCTAAAATACAATAGAGTACAATAGAATACAATAGAATACAGTACAATACAATGCAATACAAGATAAGTCGAGAGAGTACAGTACAGTACAGTACAGTACAGTACTGTATTGTATTGTACAGTACTGTATTTTATATTTTGTTATCATGCACCGTGTTCCTATCGAGTTATAGAAACACGGGTGGAAGTTTGGGAGAAGGAGAAATGCTGTGGGAACAAGAGTTGCAGGCGAGTGTTTTCACAGCTTTTTCGAGTTCTCCCAAACTTTCACGAGTGTTTCTATAACTCGTTAGAAACACGGAGAACATGTTTCCTATTTCTTTTAGAAAACGCCGCGACGAAAAAAGGAAAACAACTTAACGCGCCATCATTACGTCAACAGCTCGTGCTAGTTCCGTGTTTCTATCGAGTTATAGAAACACGGTTTTTAACCACTCAGCGCGCGTATTTTCTGAGGACTGTTTTTTTTTTAACAGAATACAAAACATAGAAAAAACGTGTTTTATTGTTTTGCGCGTGTAAAATCTATATCATAAAGCAAATGAAGAAGCCTAAGGTAGAAGTTTAAGCACTTAAACTGTGGTAAATGAGCTCTGTAGTCTACATCATCATCTGTCATCTAAGGCTGTCACCAGTTCTGTTATCTTCCCCATATTAGCCATTGTGCAATAGCTTTAGGTCAATGTCCAATGTAACGCAATCGTTTTACCATATGGTAAATCATACGACAAAGCTCCCAGTGATTTTCCACCATGCTCTCGTGTGATTTCAGCTTACTATACTCCTCCCAACTCCTTCAATCCCCAGTTAGTAAAATCCCATTGTTTTCTGACCCTGTCTCAGTTGTGAGCTATTATTCAAGCTAGGCTGTTCTCCGCTTTCCCCTCCAGCCCTATATTGGTAGCTTTGTCCTTTCCCATCTTTTTGCTCCATGTGGTTGTAATTTCCTTTCCTGAGAAGGCGGCTTTTGCCTGCGGAACCTTATCGGTTTATTTACTGCCACGTTCTATTTCTTACATTGTGTGTAAACCACGGCTGCTTAGTCAATAAAGGTTTTTGGTGGCAGGGAAGTGCAACCCAGGCTGCACTTTGCCCCACAGTAAGTGCTATGGCCACCCTTGGAAGTAGGTCCGGATCTCTCCAGGATGGTACCATCGTACCATCTGACCTATTGTCCTCCCAGAAGGGCACCCCTCTTCTGGTCCATGCTATGTTACCCCCTAACATAGGCCCCTACAGGCGCTACTACTCAAGGGGAGATAGGCTCTGTCTTCACTGCCACCCATGTTTTGCCACTATGATTAGTGTTTTTTGTTTCTGTTTTTTGCATTTACCCAGCAAGGGGATGGGGGAGGGTTACCATGTCGTTACCCATAAAAATTTATTTCTAGTGTGGCCAAGAAGCAATATTATCTTCGCTGGTACTGTTAGATCTGCCCCTCCCCCTGCATGGGTGTGGCTTCAATATATTAAACTGCACAGCAACAGGGTCTGTACGGGTCCGCAAATGATCCCAGGACCGCAAATGATCCCGGACCGCAAATGATCCCCAAATTGGACCGCAAATGATCCCGGACCGGTTAACAGTGATTCCCATTGAGACCCTCTATAATTCACTCTTGCTACAATTGGGAAGTTCTTGTTTCGATGATTCAAACAAGACAAACTAAATATTATTTTGTATTGTTATACCCATGCTAGATCTGTGGTTAAACCTCAGTTAACAAAAGATTAGCCAATTAGGAAGCAGTCTACAAGGTGTGAGATTAACATAATTATGCAAAGTCATAAACCAAGAGTGAAAATAGCAGGGTGGCAAAAATAAAATCAAAACAAAGCATTATGTACGCAGCAAAAGTTTGACCACATATCTTGAATTTCGAGGACGGTTATGACTTTCTTATGATCCGCAATTTACAGTATTTTGTGTTTACAAACTCGCGTATGTGCTTATTATGGGCATGAAAAATCGAGGCAATCGGAACAGCCGTGACATCGTCGAAGCGGGCCATTAATCTTTCATGACAGTTCAAATTCTTGACCTCTTTTCTTCAGTGGTTTCGATTCTAATTTTTCAAGGCGCCATAGTAAACACCTGGTGCTATACGCTTTATCTGGAAGCCATCCTGATCATGACGAGTAGGCACGAGCGTCAGAATCCGAAGGCAAATAATTTTCTTAGAAGTCGAATTCTAAACAATTTATAAATAGCAAACATATTAGACCGAGGGTCGCATTTTACAAATTGCACACGGCTGACTCAGAAATTCGATTTACTAGTTCGCCCCGGGGAAAAAAAAACAAACAAACAAAAGTCTGAAAAATTAACAACGCGGCTTTACGCTTTCAAGCACAACCCGTCCTTGTCCCTCAAATGTGAATGTAATCCTCCGTCTATTAGAGTGTTTTCAATTGAGTGTTGAAAGTAATCAGGCACTTATTTTGGTTTTGGTTTTGGTTTTACTTCGGTTTAAGATTGGCTCAATAGTCTAATTAGTGATTGGTTTGGTTTTCGTTTTACAACACACAATTGAAAACCGCTCTATCGTAACTTTGTTAATTATTCATTGTTAGAATTCGATTTTTGAAACAGTAATTTGCCATTGGATTTCATGATAGACCATGATACAAGCACTGCAAAAGGCTTCCAAAACCGAGCCGATAAGGTATATTAATCCCCACAAGCCTATGGAGAACGTTGACGACCAAAGATCACATTTTAATTTCAAAAGAAGGAGCAATGTAAATGCGTCAAGTACAACGCAATAAAACAGGCGGAATTGCAGACCTTATTCAGTTGTTTCAGCCCTTATTTGCTTCGTGAACATTCTTGTTTCAGTTCGTTATGTTAGAGTTTGCTAGCTCAAGGTATATGTCGTGTTAGGTATATAATGAATTCGGACTTCATATTACACTCACCTATGACGTGCAGTGTTGGGTATGTAAATGCCTTGATTGTACGTAGGGCTGACAGCTCGTTTAAAATATTTTGACTTTTTTGTTTCACTTAGAGTCTGTGGATGGCAGAATTGGAAACAAAAGGGTCCGCTGATCTTGTATTCACGTTGCTGTTGTATTTATGTAGGGTAAATACAACAACCAATAAATACGCAACCAGTAGTGTAGTGTCGCTGTATTGCGTTACGGTCATGCGCACTAGGAGTCAGTCAAGTCAGTAGTAACGAAGATTACTGTAATTTACTGTTAGGGAATAAATAACAAGTATTCACAATCAAGGACTCCATAAGTAGCTATCGTAACATTTGATTCCTGATTGCATCACAGGTGACCCAAGCTCGCGAATGAGCGTCCTTTATACATACATTAGTACAGATGGTACCCAGGCTACCCAACAATCAAAATATAAGAATTTGTATGGGAAAATGGTTCTATTCTTAAGCTTAAAAATACGAAGGAATATGAATAAAAATTAAACCTACCTCGCTTCAAGTGCATGTTTCCTTAGTTCCCGTGAGGTTTCTAGGCCGATTTATGACAATGTAGGCGGCTTTGAGCTTCACTGACATAGAGGACAAAGTAGTGAAGCTAAAAACCACCTAAATTGCCATAAACCTCACGGGAATCAAGGAAACACACTCCAATCTAGATAGATTTATTTGTAGTCACTTTCATTCCTATTTTCTAGGCTTAAGGTGGTATGGTAACCTAAAAGGGGCCAAAGAGTTTTGTTTAAATATGGTGAAGAAAGATCAATTGTGTGCGATTGCACTCATAAAGAGAAAATAAGTTTTACAGGTTTACTTAGAATGGTTGCTATGGCAACCAGCCAGACCCTTTTGAGGTTTTATTTTATAGTTTATAGCATTGACACCAACAGTTCCATCATTTTCTCTAGGGTCAATATTTGAGTTTCATCTGCAAAGGGCTGCGTAGCTATAGAAAAATCATTGTTTACGACACAACTTAAGATATTGTTGTAAAATGTATGAATACATTGCAGAAAGATGGACCAAAACCAAAAGAAGATAAAGTGCGAAATGGAAAATCTCTGCTTAAAGTATCAAAGGCTTTTTTGAAATCATTCTCCCCTCAAGATTATACCTTTCTGAGAATTCTGAGAATTCCATGACATCTTCAATCGTTCTGACTGTGTTAAAAACGGTCCTTCCCTTACATATACACGTTGATTGTAATGTATGACATTTGGTAGAACATTCTCTAATATTTTAGCAATAGCTTTCGATCCTATTTTAACGTCCACATTCATAAGTGAGATTGGTCTCCATTTCGACAAGTCCCGCTTGTCTTTATCCCTTTTCTCAATTAAGGTGATAATAGCCGTCCTTATGGGAATTTGACAGCTCGCCGAAATCCTAAGAATAGTTTAAGCTGTCTACCATCAGATTTCCTAAAGAGTGCCAAAAAGCTCTACAGAATTCGACTGTTAATCCATCATTGTCCGGTGACTTGCTGATTTCAAATAGCTGAAGACTCTTGTAACACTAGTCAACTGTTAATTTTCCATTACAGGTTCGAGCCTCATTATTAGTTAATTTCGGGATTCCAGAATTGTTTAAAAAAGAGTTTAACATTTCCTCTGATGGTCAGTGAGGATCACGTTTACGGAAATTGGAATAAAAATTTTTAATCCCCCGCAGAATTTTTTTAGGATCTGTGATTAACACTCCTTCATTGTTAAAAACCTTGCGAACAGAGCTTTTAGCTTTCTTATGCGTTTGTAGCTTTAAAAAAGTAGTTACTCCATTTTTTGCCTTTCTCGTACCAAGTGGCTTTTGATCGGATAATGGCGCCTTTTGCGATCTCTTCTTAAATAGAATTACATTCCGTTTTCAACATTTCAAGCTCCTCTTGATTCTCAAAGGTTGGTGATTCGTTGCACCTTTCTTCGCAGATCCTTAGAGAGGTCTCAATATCAGACATTTGTTTCCTCTTTTAACGCGCTTTTTCTTTGCTGTATTTTATTGAAACTTGTATAATCCTGTACTTGATTAAATCCCATGCACAACAGTCTCTTATCAGTAACTTCACTGATCGAATTCATTTAGCCACCTAGGCACACTTTCATTTATTAATGTAACAAAAACGTCTTCCTCGGTTAGAATAGCATTAAATTTCCAGAAAGAGGGACCGTCCTCCTGTTTGTCTGAGCTATTAAAATGAAGAAATATAGTCGAATGGTCAGAGTTGATCTAAGGAATAATATCAGATTTATCGATATCATCCTGGCAAGCATCGATGATTAGCCAGTAGTCAGTAGTCACTCCAATAATAGTAGCTGTACCTCAGCTTCCATTATAATTGAGCAGCCTTCACAATCCAAATTAACAGATTTTATGCTAAAATCAGGGCCACTCCTCACTAAAATCATCACCCCACAACTGTGATTAGAACCATGTGCAAACTGAAGCTTACTTTGCGTCTTCCAGATATCCTCAACATCTACAGTGCAATAAGTTTCTTTTTTTTTTTTCTTTTCTTTTTTTTTTTAAATTTATTTATAAGTTTCTTGAAGGAAAATGATTTTATACTATCGCTCATTAAGCCAGGTCAACAGGGCTTTTTCTTTCTTCTAGAACGAATCCCTCGAACATTTAAAGAAAGTTATTTAAAATTTTTACATTCCTTCTCGAATGGAACATTTAAAACTCGTTGTGTATACCGGTAACTCACATTAAAGCTGCCACAGAGATTGGAACAATTGTTTGGGTTTAAATGATCTTACGCAATAATCCCAATCTGTAGAGAAATCGTTTTTATAAAGTCTAAATGTTCGCCATATTTTGGGGTACATACCGCTTTAACAATATAACCGTTTCTCCCATACAAATCCTTATATTTCGACTGTTGCGGTAATCCGAGTACTCTATCTGCACTAATGTATGTACTAGGGAGCCTGACGCTCACTTGGCCCCGTGTGATTGCATTTATTATTTTCAAACTCAAACCAACCGCCACACACAAATGCCCAATGCTCCTTGATTTTCAAAAAGCCGCGATTTTAGCGAATTTTTCATTTTGTCCAAAGAAAACAAGCTTCTCACATAGGGAGACATCTTAAGCCAGTGTTAAAATTCGGGCAACACTTTTTCAATTTGCTATCGGTTCGCTGTTTTTTCATACCACCGTGGCTTTGCTGCAAAAGATCGCAACAAAAACAAGCTTTCTTTCCCCGGCCTTGGTTTAACAAAGAAGAATATAGCCGTTATCCGGATTTCGTTATTCGTTTTTCGTATTTCGCCGTGTTAAAACATCGCGTGAACAGCCTGGAGCTATGGTTCGTTGTCGTGTTGACCTCTTTAGCTTGTGCCGTTTGTTTTCCCATTGCAGACCACGTGATGATACTCTTGAGAAATCTTGCTTCCAAATTTTTAAATAATCGCATATATATGAATGAATAATTTTAAGATAGATAAAAGAAAAATTCTCAAGAGAATATCACGTGGTCTACAATGGGGAAACAAACCACCCAAGCTGAAGAGGTCTATCTAACAATTACACCCGTAGCCCGCAAGGAAAAGCAACTGAATTTTAATATTTCCGTAAGGGCTATTGACCCGAAGAAGGGTCAAATTGTTTTAATATCACCCAACTAGTCGGACAGAAAAGGCAATAATAAAGTTAGCAAATGCAAGTTGAAGAAATATTTATCTGGGAATAAAACAAACGAAAGCGTCACGATCGATTGCGCCAATTTCGCTGCTCAAGGACTATTACTATTACTAATAGTCCTCTAGTAGCGTAGCCAATCAAAATCCAGGATTTGCATTAGTCCACTACTTGGGTGATACTAATTAAGACTACCTATTTTTTCTGGATTTCGAGACGTATGCACGTGCGTTCTTGTAGATATGGTCGCAACGCATCTTATTTTGGCGGCCTTTTTTTTTTTTTCTTTTTCATTTGTGGAAACAGTTTTGGCAATTCCAAACGGCTGTGAGAGTTTGTGGTACGTGTTACGGGGCAAGGATTGCAAGGAAACAGTGTCGGGTATGGTGTGTACGGCTTAAAGATAATATCAGAATAATAGCTTTTCCTTTCTGTTTACTTTTATTTTAACATCCATCTCTTTACATGCCGCCCGATTTGTAAGTGTTTCAAAATATATCAATAAATAAACGAACAAACGAACGAATGGTAAATACCACTTTAATCGATCAGTGAAATGTTAAAATTCAGTTGCTTTTTCGGCGACATGCCAGTTAATTTATAATTCAGTTGTCCCATTACTCTTGCACAATACTTTTCAACAATCTGCACAGAAGCAGGGCTCATTTTTCTCCTCCAATTAGAAACAACTTGCTGTGAGTTACGACTGGTGCTGTAGGCATTTCCGTGACTAATTCGTGTCGTCTCGTGCAGCCATTTCTTGATGATATCTAACATTTCGATTCCTGTAAATTTGTAAAGTTCATTCACTACCCGCAGTGGATTGCGAGCGAGGTCTTCAAACCGGATTAACTTGTACCCATCAGGTGAAAATGCCTTCATCAACTTCCCGATCTTGACATCAAACTCCATTTGATGGCAAACTTTTTCAACATACCATGATAATTCGCGCCTTGGGTCTTGTGATCTCCTAAAAAACGCCAGAGACTTCAAAGAATCAACAACAGCTCTTGGATCTCTGACCAAATGAATTATTTTACATTCACTCGCGCCGTTGGAAGAACAACTTTCGAAAAGGTTCTTGTTCCATTCTCCACGAGAATTTAGTATTCTGGGTGTAAGTATTTTCGCAGCAAACATGATGTAATTATTTTTACAGACGTCCTCAAATTGTCGTGTTTTTAGTTTCTGGCAGACTGTAGACGTGCCGTTTCTGAAGCAAAATCTAGAGTTTAGTGCCAGGCTGTGGCGTAGATTTTGCCGGTTGAGGTAACGAGTAAACAAGTCACTAGCAAACTTGCAGTTGTTAATATCCTCAAAAACTTTGAACACTATATTTTGATAAGATGGAGAGGAGAAATCAAACTCGAATAAGGAATGTCCAGAGAACATTTTTTGCACAGGATGTAATGGCTCAAAAAGGTAGAACACACCAGGGTGGTGATTGAAAATTTCGCCCAGAAATGAAGATCCCGATCTTGGACAAGACATTAACATGACATTCACCCTCTTGGGATGTTGCGTTAATGGTGCACTCCGTAGTGGGTTTGTGAATGTGTACATGAAAGTGAGAGAGAAGAAAATTAAACCCATTGAACAGGATATAATGAAAAATTTCTTGGAATCGAAGCGGTTGCACCATGTTTCTCTCCTTATTTCGAGAGCCTGTTGATTCATCGTCTGGAGTGCGGATAGCAGCCTGTAGAATAAACAAAACAGACTATTTGATCAACCCAGAAACTTTTCTAAATAAAGACTCTCTAAATAAATGCCGTTCGTCGCCGTCGTAAGGCGCGCGCGCCCGCGATCCATGCCACTAGCCATGTTGACCATGGAAAAAGACTTGCATGGTTTTTTATTTCTACGCATGCATGTGATTCTGTTCTTATAGTTACGGTGCTCTGCTTTTGGTTCTCTGCTAAAATACAATAGAGTACAATAGAATACAATAGAATACAGTACAATACAATGCAATACAAGATAAGTCGAGAGAGTACAGTACAGTACAGTACAGTACAGTACGGTATGGTATGGTACAGTACGGTATTTAAGAAATAGAAAACATGCACCGTGTTCCTATCGAGTTATAGAAACACGGGTGGAAGTTTGGGAGAAGGAGAAATGCTGTGGGAACAAGAGTTGCAGGCGAGTGTTTTCACAGCTTTTTCGAGTTCTCCCAAACTTTCACGAGTGTTTCTATAACTCGTTAGAAACACGGAGAACATGTTTCCTATTTCTTTTAGAAAACGCCGCGACGAAAAAAGGAAAACAACTTAACGCGCCATCATTACGTCAACAGCTCGTGCTAGTTCCGTGTTTCTATCGAGTTATAGAAACACGGTTTTTAACCACTCAGCGCGCGTATTTTCTGAGGACTGTTTTTTTTTTAACAGAATACAAAACATAGAAAAAACGTGTTTTATTGTTTTGCGCGTGTAAAATCTATATCATAAAGCAAATGAAGAAGCCTAAGGTAGAAGTTTAAGCACTTAAACTGTGGTAAATGAGCTCTGTAGTCTACATCATCATCTGTCATCTAAGGCTGTCACCAGTTCTGTTATCTTCCCCATATTAGCCATTGTGCAATAGCTTTAGGTCAATGTCCAATGTAACGCAATCGTTTTACCATATGGTAAATCATACGACAAAGCTCCCAGTGATTTTCCACCATGCTCTCGTGTGATTTCAGCTTACTATACTCCTCCCAACTCCTTCAATCCCCAGTTAGTAAAATCCCATTGTTTTCTGACCCTGTCTCAGTTGTGAGCTATTATTCAAGCTAGGCTGTTCTCCGCTTTCCCCTCCAGCCCTATATTGGTAGCTTTGTCCTTTCCCATCTTTTTGCTCCATGTGGTTGTAATTTCCTTTCCTGAGAAGGCGGCTTTTGCCTGCGGAACCTTATCGGTTTATTTACTGCCACGTTCTATTTCTTACATTGTGTGTAAACCACGGCTGCTTAGTCAATAAAGGTTTTTGGTGGCAGGGAAGTGCAACCCAGGCTGCACTTTGCCCCACAGTAAGTGCTATGGCCACCCTTGGAAGTAGGTCCGGATCTCTCCAGGATGGTACCATCGTACCATCTGACCTATTGTCCTCCCAGAAGGGCACCCCTCTTCTGGTCCATGCTATGTTACCCCCTAACATAGGCCCCTACAGGCGCTACTACTCAAGGGGAGATAGGCTCTGTCTTCACTGCCACCCATGTTTTGCCACTATGATTAGTGTTTTTTGTTTCTGTTTTTTGCATTTACCCAGCAAGGGGATGGGGGAGGGTTACCATGTCGTTACCCATAAAAATTTATTTCTAGTGTGGCCAAGAAGCAATATTATCTTCGCTGGTACTGTTAGATCTGCCCCTCCCCCTGCATGGGTGTGGCTTCAATATATTAAACTGCACAGCAACAGGGTCTGTACGGGTCCGCAAATGATCCCAGGACCGCAAATGATCCCGGACCGCAAATGATCCCCAAATTGGACCGCAAATGATCCCGGACCGGTTAACAGTGATTCCCATTGAGACCCTCTATAATTCACTCTTGCTACAATTGGGAAGTTCTTGTTTCGATGATTCAAACAAGACAAACTAAATATTATTTTGTATTGTTATACCCATGCTAGATCTGTGGTTAAACCTCAGTTAACAAAAGATTAGCCAATTAGGAAGCAGTCTACAAGGTGTGAGATTAACATAATTATGCAAAGTCATAAACCAAGAGTGAAAATAGCAGGGTGGCAAAAATAAAATCAAAACAAAGCATTATGTACGCAGCAAAAGTTTGACCACATATCTTGAATTTCGAGGACGGTTATGACTTTCTTATGATCCGCAATTTACAGTATTTTGTGTTTACAAACTCGCGTATGTGCTTATTATGGGCATGAAAAATCGAGGCAATCGGAACAGCCGTGACATCGTCGAAGCGGGCCATTAATCTTTCATGACAGTTCAAATTCTTGACCTCTTTTCTTCAGTGGTTTCGATTCTAATTTTTCAAGGCGCCATAGTAAACACCTGGTGCTATACGCTTTATCTGGAAGCCATCCTGATCATGACGAGTAGGCACGAGCGTCAGAATCCGAAGGCAAATAATTTTCTTAGAAGTCGAATTCTAAACAATTTATAAATAGCAAACATATTAGACCGAGGGTCGCATTTTACAAATTGCACACGGCTGACTCAGAAATTCGATTTACTAGTTCGCCCCGGGGAAAAAAAAACAAACAAACAAAAGTCTGAAAAATTAACAACGCGGCTTTACGCTTTCAAGCACAACCCGTCCTTGTCCCTCAAATGTGAATGTAATCCTCCGTCTATTAGAGTGTTTTCAATTGAGTGTTGAAAGTAATCAGGCACTTATTTTGGTTTTGGTTTTGGTTTTACTTCGGTTTAAGATTGGCTCAATAGTCTAATTAGTGATTGGTTTGGTTTTCGTTTTACAACACACAATTGAAAACCGCTCTATCGTAACTTTGTTAATTATTCATTGTTAGAATTCGATTTTTGAAACAGTAATTTGCCATTGGATTTCATGATAGACCATGATACAAGCACTGCAAAAGGCTTCCAAAACCGAGCCGATAAGGTATATTAATCCCCACAAGCCTATGGAGAACGTTGACGACCAAAGATCACATTTTAATTTCAAAAGAAGGAGCAATGTAAATGCGTCAAGTACAACGCAATAAAACAGGCGGAATTGCAGACCTTATTCAGTTGTTTCAGCCCTTATTTGCTTCGTGAACATTCTTGTTTCAGTTCGTTATGTTAGAGTTTGCTAGCTCAAGGTATATGTCGTGTTAGGTATATAATGAATTCGGACTTCATATTACACTCACCTATGACGTGCAGTGTTGGGTATGTAAATGCCTTGATTGTACGTAGGGCTGACAGCTCGTTTAAAATATTTTGACTTTTTTGTTTCACTTAGAGTCTGTGGATGGCAGAATTGGAAACAAAAGGGTCCGCTGATCTTGTATTCACGTTGCTGTTGTATTTATGTAGGGTAAATACAACAACCAATAAATACGCAACCAGTAGTGTAGTGTCGCTGTATTGCGTTACGGTCATGCGCACTAGGAGTCAGTCAAGTCAGTAGTAACGAAGATTACTGTAATTTACTGTTAGGGGTACATCGAAAAATTACCTCAAAAGATTACACGGGACGATCACACAGTTGCCGAAGCGGAATGGCGAATGTCTTACTTCCATGTCCTTCATTTTCCGTCCACTAAGACAACGCTTCAGTCGGCCCACGTTGGAAAAAATGGCTGAAACGTTTGGAAATGTATCTCGCCGCTCATGATGTGAAAGATCCATCACGCAAGAGAGCGCTGCTACTATACTCCGCTGGTGAAGAGGCCAGCGACATTTTTGAAACACTTCCAGATCGAGGAGAAGAGAAGGACTATGCGAAAGCAGTGACTGCTTTCAATGCTTATTTTCAGCCAAAAGTAAACAAGACCTACGAAATTTACATGTTCAGAAATGCTTCTCAGAATTCCGGTGAATCGCTAGATTCTTACTGCACACGGCTGAGGCGTCTTGCTCAA